TCCGCACCCCCAAAGGTTCTTTGGTGAGCAGCTTCCCACAGCCCCCTGGTGCATTGCCTCCTGGCAGGACCTGGCAGGTACTAGGGATGCAGGGGGGAGTTGGGCACTGCATGCGCTGACCGTGGTGTCACCTGGTAGAACAGCCCCCAGGTGGATAGAGGGCCTGCGGTGCTGGTTGTGCCTGTTATGTTATGGAGACTGTAAGAGCCTTTGGCCTCAGAGGCTGCTGGCTCAGCAGGTGGTATCTCTGCAAGGCCTGGCAGCATGGGCACAGTGCCGGCCTTGCAATCCTGCCCAGGCAAGGCAGCTTTCACCACTCTGTTCTGCATGGAGGAGTTTATGGCAGGAGACTGCATCTCATTACTTAGCTCTCACATTTTCAGCTTAGCTGTGAGCAGGTCTAGAAAGTGTTTCTGTGCAAGTCGTTTAAAGGAAGAAGAAAAGCCTAAACCCTTAGAAGGAGCTGTACTTTTTTTTACAGCTGTAACAGTATTCATAAGGCAGCAGCTGCCGGCAGCCTCAGAGATGCTGAGAGCTATATTTCATTAACCGTACCTTAAGAATACACACAGCATGTGTTTTTTCCCCCCACTGGGAATTGTATTTTGTTGCATGTTACTCAGTAAGTCGTACTGTAGTGAGTGAGTCTTTAAGAAATGTCTGCAGCAGTGACATCCTGCATTATGTAACACGGAAGGACAGCACTCGGCTCCCAGGCTGCCTGGTGCCGCTCTACCGCAAGCAGAGCTGATCATGTGAGAAAGGGCAACCTGGTCCATCCCGGATACAGAGAAAGCCTTTCTCTGAGTCATCTTCATGCTCATTTTTAGAGCTGGGAGGAGGCGGGGACAGGACGTTTCTTGTGTGCCAGGAAAGTGATCACCAGATACATGCAGGTCAGCATCCTCTTCAGGGGGTACAGCTGTGTCCCCACCGCCTCCTGGGATCACCTGTGGCAAACAACACCTATCTTCTCTGCCCTTTAGCATGACTGGAGACTCTCAACTTAGTGCAAATCACCAAGTTCCTGTTTTTTATAATGAGACTGTTAGCAAAAGCAGTTAGCTAGCAGAAGCTAACCCAGTTTGCTCTCTGTGTTCAGCCTTGATGAGCTGCAGTAGTTCCTTCCCCATGCCTCTTCTAACATAACCAGTTGTCTCTCCTTTTCCTTTTCCTAACTCCATATGTGCTTTGCGGTTTCTTCTTAACTGTGGCTTCCTGCACAGTACTAACATTACTGAAGTTCACCTGAGGTCTCTGCTACCTCTCCTTTGTCTAGAGAGTTGAGTGTTACCAAAGATGTCAGATGATTTTGGCCCAGTCTCCCTTTGTCAGCCTCACCTGCACTTTATTTACTCTGATGTATTCAACTCCTTCCTCCAAGTTTGTTCTACAGCCTGGTACCCTTTGAGAGACCTGTAGAAACAGACTTGTGGTTGCTCAGCTCTCTGCCCTGCTTGAACAGAGATGTTTTGTGCTTGTCACTCCCTGAGCTGACAGCTGCCTTAACAAGGCTTGCTACCTGCCCTGCACTTTCACATGCTAGTCCTCACCTCAAATGAAGATTATCCGACATTCTTCAGCTTTGCTCCAATAATCTCTTGGCATTTTGCTTTCAGGCTCTTCCTCCCTTACATCTGTTTGCCATCATGGCCTTCTGGGGTGTTTTGCTACAGCCCCTGTGTAGAGCTCTCCCTAAAACTTTTCTGTTCCCATCTCATTTCTCCATGTGTTGTTTAAATTTCATGGCTGAAAAGCCTTGCTTTTGGTCTTAGTATCTGACTCAGCATGGTGGTGTTC